TAGCGACCCCTCCTTGGGTTTCCAAGGTGGTATCACTATGGGGGTAGATTGCCCAACCTTCCTTCCGAGGAGTGGCTGATGGGTTTGAACCACCAGCCTTTTGGTTAGCAGTCAAGTGCTTAGGCACTATGCCACCAGAGCTCCCATTTTAATGCTTTACTCCATGGGAAAGGTAAGGAAATTGTGATCAAGGGAGTAAAATCAACAATCAAGTGTCAAATAGTGAATCAACTAGTGACAAAATTATATTGGACATCCTGACTACTAGTCCAATGTCCTTTCATTTCTCTACATCATGAAAGAAAAGTCTAAATTCACTGCCTTCTCTAAGTAATGTCCCATTTTTAATAGTGGAAAACCAGAAGGGAGAGAAGGAAAGGAGTGAAAGGAGATAAGCAGCTGAAAAGGTAAAGTGATGTTTCACTCATTCATTCATTCATTCAACAAAGAATTTGTGATGCCTACTAAATTGAAAAAGGAACTCTGGTGGCGAAGTAGATAAAGCATTTGACAGCCAACCAGGCCAGCAGTTCAAACCCACCAGCTGCTCTGTGGGAGGAAGATGAGGCAATCTACTTCTGTAAAGATTTACAGCCTTGGAAACCCTATGGAGGTCGCTATGAGTTAGGATAGACCCGATGGCAGTGGGTTTATTTTTTTGTTTTTACTACATAAAGGAGGTCATGAGTTCTGGAGTCTCAGATATAAAGCAGCTCCTCATGATGGGGCCCTCAAGGAGCTCACAGTGAAACACATGAGACAGAGAGAAAACTAGTAAAGAGAAATCTTTATAAGAGTTTAAGTTTTTTTTTTTTTTTTTTTTTTTAAAAACAGTTTAAGGGTTTGGGAAAAGTCAGTATGAGTTTAAAAGAAAATGTACTAATTCCACTTGGAGTGATCAGAGAAGGCTATTAGGACTCTTTTCTCAAATACTAGACTGAGAAGTTTCTACTCTCTCCTGTGGATGCTCTTGAATGACCGGCTAAAGAGCTTGGATTTAAAACTGAAGGCTAAAGGGGTTCTTTGAAGCTGTAGGCATGGTCAGCTTTGTACTTTGAAATATGGTTGTGGAGACCTCTGTGAGAATGGACTGGAGTGGAGCAAATGGAAACCAGGATCATCAGGGCAGAGACCCACCTTCCACTGTTCTATGTGTCCCTACATTCAAGAGAGACTTCTCAAAGCCTGCATCCTCCACCTGAGCTACTCCTTGTCTCCATCTCTTCTGCTCATCTCCTACACCTTACCCACACCCAGCTCAAATATACCATATCTGGGAAGCATTCACTGCTTTGCAGTTGGTAAATTTCTCTTGTGAGTCCCTTCACTACCTTGTTGTAGAATTCCCAGATGACATGAGGTAGTCTTATTCATCCCCAGCTAAATCAAGAACTCTCCAAGGACAGGATGAGAGTCTCATCCATTTCTGCATATCCAGTGCCTAATACAAGTTTTAGCACATGGAAAATTCTTGAGGAACCCTTCACAATTGAGTTATAGGAAAATAATGTAGATAATGGAAATAAAAAATGGAAGAAAGAGAGATCTGAAGAGAGGGAGACAGGGAGAGAGGCAGATAGACATGGTGTCAGCATGAGAAAGAAAAGAGAATGTGAGAATGGAGAAAATGTGGAAATCTATTCTCTTCCAACAATACAGCCAAGCATTGGACTTGGCATAATGAAGTTTACCCTTTGGAATCAAACAGACCTGGGTTAATATCTTGATTCTGTCACTTACTGGCTTTTTGGGCAAGGTAATCACCTCTTTGGCCATAATTTCTTCAACTGTGAAATGGTGATAAAATGGAAATTCTAATAAAATAGTAATATTTTTATGTTAATGATAGTAATAGTAACCAAAATAGTTGCTTATCATTAGCTTGTTTTGAAGTGTTGAGTTCATGGAGCTACTTGAAATAAGACATCTGAATTTATTCACTTTTCTATGTCCAGCACCCAACATGGAATTGTTCATGAAGTACTTTCTCAATAAATTGTGAAATTTATGTGTATACTGGTAGTAATACTAGTACTAGTCCTATTTTGGTAATGAAAGTGATGAGGAATTTTTGGTGCTGATAGATTTGGCCCCTTTGGGGCTTTCAACTTTACTGTGTTTTTAGCCAGTTACCTATAGCGATCTGGAGAACACAAGGTTCTGGAAACATACCTTTAGTTGGTGTTCCTATCCAGTTGAGATATCTTGTGAGCTTCGTGGAGATGTAAGTCTTTCCTCGAGCTGGTAAACCCACCATGATCACCATCGTGGGGGAATTGGTAAACTGTGGGATGGATGCTGAAAGATAAACAAAGTCTCAAAATCTTGTCCTCAGGTTCAAATGCATCTCTGGTATCAGTTCAGAGATATAAAGTTAGAAAGAATATTTCTCTTACTATTAAACAACAGCAACATTATTTTTTTTTAATTTAAAAAGCTGGGAAAACTACAAATTAATAACTTTTCTTAAACTCATCAGGAAACTGAGGTTGCAGGGCAAACTGCTAGCCCCAAATCTGTAGAGATAGCCATGTGTAGAACCAGGATCCAAGCATTTACTTACCTGACACAAACGCCAGAAAGATTCAGCTAACATATTTTAATGGGATGCTAAAGGATGGCTATGGGCTAGTATGAGTGTGACACCCTGGGTACTGCAAACAAAGGTTTTGAAGCCTCTTGCATACTTCTCCAGGAATCCTACCCGGGGCTGATAGGGAAGACTAGGGAGAATCCTGAGGAAGTTCTGGCTTAGGGAAGAAAACAGCAGCCATTCCTGAAATTCTGCCCAGAATACTTCCTCCATATTTCCTATGGAGCAAAGCCTTAAAACTCAGGGGAAAAGGCAACAAAAGTGTAGTATGACAGCACGGATGGAAACCCACTGCAGCTGGCAAAAATGAATGGTCCATATTACTGAAATTCTTCCCAGACCATTCTACTCTATATCCCCTAAAGAACAAAAGCCTTAAAATGCAGAACGAAGGGCAACAGAAAATGAGGGCACTGGTTGAAACCTGTTACCACTCAGGAAAAAAATGAAAGAAAAGGGGGGGCGGGGAAGCACAGGAAAAATACTCTAACCCTGGAGGAGGGGTAGGAATCCCTGCTAGTCCCAGCACTATCTCTGGAGGAGGGGGGAGAACACTTGTGAAGGCCATGTCTCCAAGAATTAGGATAAATTTGTCTATCTAAAATGGAAGTTTAATCATAACATTATTATATAATGTTTCCTAATCCTCCACTCACCAATAACAAGCTATAATGTACGACATAAAAATAACAGTGGCCCTGGCTGCCTGGATGCAACAATGAGTCTCTTCTCGTCCAGAGTAAAGAAGAATGAAGAAAACCAAAGATGCATGGAAACAATTAGTCCAAGGGACTGGTAGACCATGCAATCCTCATCTTATATGACCATGAGACCAGAAGAACTAGATTGTGCCCAGCTGCCACTGTCAACCATTCAGAGGGGGATCTGTGTAGCAGATCCTTGATAGAGTAGGATAACAATGTGGAACACAACTCAAAATTATAGATAGATAGATAGATAGACAGACAGACCAGGTTTGCTAGTCTGATAGAGCCTGGTGAAAACCCCTGAGATTATGTTCCCTAGCTGCCCTTCAGGTCTAGAATATAACTCACTCCTGTGGCTTCCAGCGAAATAAAAGACCTGCATATGCGCTGAACATTTACATCAGGTAGATACATTCCTTGGAGAGATCTATAATGGGGGAACAGAAGGGCAGTGTATGCACAGGGAGACTGCTCAGGGGGACAGGAATGCATGGGAGGGAATGACACAGGGAAGAGGTAACTATGGGGAGGAAGTGAGAAGATAGCTGTTGCATTGTGGGAAATTGCAGTGAATGTCATGAGACAAAATATGTATGAACTGCTGTATGGAAAATTAATTTGCTCTGTAAACTTTCACCCAAATCACAATTTTTTAAAAAAGAAAACAGAATTAATAGGTAGAAGAGGAAGAATGCCCATCTAAATTTTGTACATTTTCAAGTATAATTGGAACCTTAAATAAAATAACAGTGGCCCTGGGGATATATAGGTAGCGCTGGTGGCACTGTGATTAAAATATTGGTCTGCTAACAAAAAGACGGTAGTTTGAACTCACTAGCAGCTCCATGGGAAAAAGATGAGGCAGTCTACTTCTGTAAAGATTGACAGCCTTGGAAGGCCTTGGAAACCCTGTGGAGCAGCTATGCATTGGAATCTATTCAATGGCAGTGGGTTTGGGTTTGGTTTAGGAATATATACCTAAAAGAATTGAAAACAGGGACTCAAATATTTTTACACAAATGTTCATATTAGGATAATTCACAATAGCTAATAAGTGGAAACAACTCAAACATTCAACAGATGAATGAAGAAACAAAATGTGATATATATACATGATATGATATGATATGATATGAACCTTGAAAACATTATGCTAAGTGAAATAAGACACAAATGGGCAAATATTGTATGATTCTACTTATATTAAATTAGAGAATAGAAAAATTCATAGAGAGAGAAATCAGATTAAAAGTTACCTCTGGTAGCATAGTGCCTAAGGCACTTGATTGCTAACCAGAGACTAGTGGTTCAAACCCACCAGCCACTCCTAGGAAGGAAGGTTGGGCAACGTACTTCTGTAATGATACCGCCTTGGAAACCCAAGGAGGAGTCGCTATGAGTCGGGGCCAACTCAACGGCACATAACAACACAACAACAAAGGCTGGAGTAGGGGAATGGGGAAGTTATTGCTTAACAGGTACAAAATTTCTGTTTGTGGTGAAGTAAATAGTGGTGATGACTGCGTAACACTGTGATTGTAATTCACTCCACTGAATTGTATGCTTAAAGATAGTTAAAATGGAAATTTTTATGTTACATGTTTTACCATAGTAGATTTTTTTAGTTTGATAATCTTTTGCAAAGTACTAGAAAATAATAACAAAAAAAGCAACGCAAATCCATGGTGCCAAAATTTAGAAAAATTATACAGCAGAAAGAAGAAACTAAAAACCACTCATAATGAGTCCATGGCCATTGTTGCCATTTTGCTGAATATCCATCCAGGTATTTTTTCTACATATTTTAATTTTAATTTCTCTCAGTAATATTTTGCAGTTTTCAGTGCAATAGTCTTAAACATCTGTGATCAGATTTATCCTTATATATTTCATAGTTTTTAATTGTATTGCAAATGGTATTTTTTGATTCAATTTCCAATTGTTTATTGCTATTATACAGATATTATATAGAATACAGTTGATTTTATTTGATCTTGAATCCTGCAATCTTGCCACATTAACTTGTTGGTTCTAATAGCTTTTTTTTTTTTTTTTTTTTGCCATTTCATTGCAACAATTATGCTATCTGTGAATAAAGACAGTTTTTTTTCTTTTTTAAAAATTCAAAAGCCATTTAAAAAAATTATCTTATTATATTGGCTAAAAGTTTCAAAAAAATATTGAATATATTGATAAGACTTTCATGTCTTGTTCTTCATCTTTGAAGAAAAGGAATTAGTCTTTCTACATTGTCTAATATTAGTTGTAGGTTTTTGTTTATGTCCTTTAACAGATGTAGACATATCCGTTCTATTTGTAACTTGCTGAAAGTTTGATTATGAATCAATTGTGGATTTTGTCAAATGGTTTTTCAGCATCTATTGAGAAAATCATGTGGTTTTTGTCTTTTAGTCAGTTAATATGATGAATGACATTGATTGATGTTTCAAATATTAAACCAATCTTGCATTCCTAGGATAAGCTAGTAATGCATTATTTTTATTTTGTGTGTGTGGTAAAAAAAAATAGATAAAAATACATTAACCATTAGTGTACAAATTTATTAATCTGAAAGTTAGTAAATAAACAACACTGGAATGGTTCAGGAAGAGCTGAACACATAGATTATCTGCAGGGAGCAGCAAAAAGGGAAGAATCAAGGCAAGATAAAAGAAAAAACATCTGAAAAGAAAAGGAAATAATCAAAACCAGGCTCAGGAATGATGAAGATATTGGAATTAAGGAATTTAAAATAGCTATGATTAACATGTTAAAGACTCTAGTGGAAAAGGTAGACAATATGCAAAATTGGGACCAGCGGAAGGTGGGAGTTTGCATGTGTGGAGGCAGGCCATGGTATGCCAGCCCTGGGAGCAGGAGAGGGTGGGTGTTTGCACCCTGGAGGCAGAATGGGTAAGCAAGCAGGGTGGGAGAGTCCAGGAAATGAGCAGAGCAGTTTAGAACAACTAAGGAAGAAAAACTTGTCTGTCAGTTCATCATACTGTGGTGGCT